ACCTAAAAGATGCTGATAGTCGAGTGTGTCCACTGCTGAACCAATTCCTTACCAAGCCGACATTAACATCTAAAATGGTACGGCAGTTGCCTGGCCAGCATCCAAACATTAACATAATTAAATTTTCAAACAATTTTAGAAGTAAAATACAAGTTTTTATCAGCAAGCTTCTTTTCAAATCTTTATTCCTCTGGGTGCATTCTGGAGAACAAAGTAGCTTATATAAAGATGTAACTATAGTGAGAGGGTTATCTTTAGTGATAATGTATTTTCTTACAAATGTGTTAGCAATGTCAACAAACTACTAAGTTCTATTAACTGCTCTACCCATGAAGGAAACAAACTTAAATAGTGTTAAATGTAAACAATAAAGCAGTTCCAGTTATGGAAGACAAACTATAACACTATGCAAAGGAGGAAATATTAGAAAAATGCAAGATGGTGCCAAACAAAATTTGAACACCAGGATGGCAGCTAAATATTTGTTTCATTCTTTAAGTACTAAAGAGGAAAACAATATCTCCAACACTATATGTTGAGAATATGTACCCTTCTTTGAAATGTTAACTCACACTTATGAGTCACAAAGATGAGGATCACCAAGAATGGTACAAGTCTATGATGGACTGTGCAGGCAGCACCATCATTCACCCTACAATTTCAAGTTCCAGCCATGATTATGCACAGTATTTATTTTATAATTTGAGCTTATTACATTGATACTAAAAATAATTTACTTGATTGCATAGTTGCTGGGAAATTGCTTGCAATGAATATTTATTTTTTATAATCTGAAATACTAGTTTTTAGTTAAAAAAAATTTAATACACCAGCTGTCTCCCACTGAAGTAGGGTGACCTGAAAAGAACATAAAGTTTTTCTTCTTGTTACATTTAGTAATGTATACAGAAGAAGGGGTTACTAGCCCCTTGTATCCTCTAGTAAAATATTCTCTAAATTCTTTTAAATTAAGTACAATACAGGTGGGTAATGAAATGCTAAGAAACATGTACCCACTATGTATTACATGTCATGCTGTCTAGCCAGAACTTTTCACTTTTGCTTATCTATCAATGATAGTTTTGCCAAATATACTAAGCCTATATTTGTTTTTTCTATAATTGCAAAAATCATTTGCATAACAAGATTAATACTATGTTTAAGTGACATTACAGTAACTCCATTTTGACTGATCTTACAGTTATACAAATAAACCTTTGTAAGGGTCAAGTTGCCAAGTCAGTTTTGGTGCAAACTTCAACAAATTCCATACCATGTTGATCACATGAATAATCTATCAGTCCATAAGAAAAGATGACAAAAATATTTAAGAAAACTTTTTTTTTTGACGGTTCTGTCTTTATCCAACCCAACCTAGCTTTGCCTTAATTTATGTAGGATTACTTAATATTAATAAAATGTATTAATCAGGCAATGCTAACACTACCATTTTTATAATTACTGCAATAATATATTTACACTTGCTTAACTGGCAAACTGATCATAACTTGATGAATTTAATATGAAATCGCTGGCTAAAATGCAAGAGACATGTACATATCGTGCCTGATAAGCCAAATTGATTAAACAAATCAGTGACAAAAATAGAGAATTTACAAAAAAAAAATCTTATGTATTAACACATATTTTATTAATTTACATGGTACAAGATTAAAATTTATAATTTTGCACCAAATGTAACTTAATTTTTTTTAACTTAATGGCTATTTCCTGCCAAGGCATGGTAACCTAAAGGAAAACATATTCATCAACATTCACTCAACTGCCATCTTTGCGGAAATGCGCTAACATCACAATCAGATTGCCCCTCCAACTGCAACATGCTCACTCATTTTTCAGAGTGCAGGTGCTGCTCTCCCCACCTCCAGGACTAAAGTCCAACTGACTGGTTTTCATGAATCCTTTCATAAAAGTTACCCTGCTCATATTCCAACAGCATGTAGTAAGGTAGGAGAGAGAGAGGGGTCATCCAGGAATAGTTGGAGGAAGTGGGTACAACAGGCTTTGAGTTTTACGGGCTTGAGCATCCAGCATGGAGACAAAGAGTTTTCAATGGACATGCTGTTAGTGTGTGAGCAAGGTAACTTTTATGAAAGCATTCAGGAGAAACAGGTTAGCTGGTCTCAAGTCTCGGAGGTGAGAAGGCATGTACTCTGAGAGAATGCTGCAGTTGGAGGGTAATTGATCATGATGTCAGGATATTTCTGGAAAGACACCTATTGAGTGAATGTATTTTCTACTTTGGATTACTCTGCCTTGGCAGGAGATAACCAATGTATTAAAAGTTTATTTATTGTATTTATATATATTTTTACAAATAAAAGTTGCATTAATTTCCTTCAGTATATGCATTTAAGCTTGTCAGACTATATTATACCTTTCAAAGGACTGTACATTTTTATAAGGAACATTATGGGTCCGATAAAAAATTAACATGTGTATTTATATTTTGCACAAATTACACAACCCATGGCTGACTTTAAAATAGGTCCAGGTGAATGACACTAGGTGACCTACATCCAGCACTGATCTCCATCTTAGACCAATGCATGGATTTATAAAGCTCACATGAAAATATGGAAAATATCACAGCTAAGAAATCAGACAGAAACATTTCTTAAATTATCGAGGGAAATTTGTAACCCATACATTGCAAATATAGTGCTTCAGCTATTTCCAATTATTAATTCTTAAGAGTTCATTTGAATAATATAATTCCACAGACAGAAGAATCCACATTCTTATTAAATACAGAGTTGTACTCTTTAAGTTTAACTACAACAGTAATTTTACCTTGTGTAAAAGATTGTAGTTATTCCATTTCTGCCTTCGGAGAGCCTCTTAAGAATTTGGATACTTAACCTTTGAAGCCTCATATCTTGAAATATTTAAAACAACCATTTCAAGAAAACAACATAAATCATCCCACTGTACAAGTTTATACTCACTAACTACAATGAGATTCACTGTACACTATTCACATTGTTCATCTGTTCCGTGACATGACCATCTATAGTGATGCGTCAGCTATAAAATGAACAAGGGTCAATTTCTCTGCAGAGCAAATGGAAAATGCGCCTTATTAACAAACACACACTGAAGTTCATGATAGCTGGTCCCATCACATTTGCATTTCACAGAAGTTTTGTAATATCAAGCTATACTACAATCTTCTATTATATATTTACAACCAAATTGTAACACGTAATAAAGCTTTCTGACCCCACATCTCAACAAAATTCAATATATATATATATAGATATATATATAGATATATATTGCTGCTTCCATTGTACTTTGAGGTAAGACCAGGTAATTCTTCCTTTGAGCTCATCCCTGTTTCATAAAAATAATTCTATTTGAAAACTTACAGGTGACTTATGCCCAGTTCCCAATAAAAATTAACTGCTTTATAAATGTATTTTATCTTTATGATAAAAGATTCTCTCAAATCTCTCCAAAGATGTGCATGAGATCAAAGAGATTAAAAATTGCAATTACTAAAGTATAGTGGTAATTTACCACATCTTATTAATTTACATTATAAGGAGAATTAGCATAAATTTTCAATTCTCAACAGATAATAATCAACTGTCTACCAAAAAAATTCTATATGCTTCAACTCCACTTTTAGTGTTTAGTCTTTTGGAGTCTGTGAGCTATTAACATATTTTATGTGAAGTAATTTTTCAACTTAAACAATTTCAAAGATTTGTTTCAGCAGTTACCCATTGTCAAATCTGTCATAAATTCATCTTCTGGCCCTTCATACATGCACAATGCCACAGCATCTTATTCCACAGGAGAAAGACATATGAACACAACACACAATTAAAGAGATACTCTTCAATACAAAACAGTAGCAAAACTTCCTGATTACCAAATAATGCAGCAAAAAACATTACTATACATTTTTTCAAATAGGCAGGTACCTTGGAAAATTACTCATTTCTATAATTGCCACATTAGTTATAACACAGGCTCTGAGAGCCTGCAAAATAATCCTCAACTGTAACCAGTATGTTAGCCTCCATTATGTATGAGCAATATGTACAAGCAACTGCATCTGTACAATCTATTCTTAAAGTTTTGAGTTGGTACATTATTTAGGAAGGTGCAGTTCGTCATTAAATATACCACTGGTACAATAACATTTACACGCAAAACACATTTAAACCTTATATTTTTAAACAAAAACTAATGTGTTTTCTTTAATACCAAATTCTGGTAATATTTCTTACTTATTGCTTGCACAATCTGAAACAGCTTTAGCTAATATCAGTATATTGGGCATAAGAATACCTTATAAAAAGTTACACGAACATATCTTTAATACAGCTTTGCTGTCAATTGACTCTAACCTCAAATATACATTGAGTGTTATCTTTTAGTGTTTTGGTGGATAATATTGCAACACAAGTACAAACATGACTGCTGGGTGCACTTCCTGAACACAGCTACTTAACTGAGCTACAACATATCTCGATGTTTGTATCTCATTTACAAACACAAGACTGGAAAGTTTTTGTCATATTTCAATCTGAATTCTGCTACACATTCACGTAGGCAAACAATTGAGCAACAGTGCATGGACAGCTTAGGTGGCACGCACGGGCTACGAAGGTGGGTATCTCAAGCTACAAAAACTCTTACATCTGGCAGTACTTATGGGATATAAGTGTAGACTTATTGAGAAATGAAATACTAAAGCTGTGCCTAATTTATACTAAGTCCACATTGAAATCTTAACTTTACTGAGATGCCAATGTTTATATATATATATAATATATATATATATATATATATATATAATATATATATATATAATATATATATATATATATATATATATAAATATATAATATTTTATATTATATATATATATATATATATATATATATATATATATATATATATATATATATATATATATATAATATATATATAATATATATATATAATTTATTTATTTTGATGCTGGGTTCCACTGATAAAATATGAATAAAAATAAACAATAAAAAATAAAAGACATAACAATAACATAACAATCTAGATATAATTTATCATTATGTAGTGACAGGGAGTGTAGTGGTGGCTTGACTTGACGTTGGCACAGTGGCAGTGAGGGATGATCGTGCATCTGTGGAAATCAACATCAGTTAGAGCAATGGCATATGTTTGAATGCACCAATTTTTAAAATAAACACAGGATTAAATACAGTGATGAGAAAAAGATCCAATGGGCATGTACAAGGAATAAATATGGTTGTACCCACTGTAAAACTTAACCCATAAAGTGTGTCTGATGTACGCAAATGTTGTCTGTGTCCAACGTATTAGTATGCCCAATTTTTCATACGCACAATTTTTCGCCAATATATTTGACCTCAGCACAATTCTTTGGGTCTTCTTTAACCCTTTGAGGGTCGACAGGCCCTCTCCGAAACTCGTTCTCAGGGTCGGCCAAATTTAAAAAAAAAAAAATTATTTTCTCTTATGAAAAGATAGAGAATCTTTTCCCGATCATAAAGACACCAAAAGTTTGAAATTTGATAGAAAACTTATGGAATTATGCTCTCGCAAAGTTAGCGGTCTCGGCGATGTTTACTCATCGGCGATTTTGCCCAATTTGAGCCCCATTTTCGGCCAATTTCACTGTACTAGTCGACAAAAAACATGAATATTTCGCTAGAACTCCATTTTTTCTATCGAATGGGTGCAAGAAACCACCCATTTATGAAATTCAACTATCCAGTACAGTGGTCAGAATTTAGCAATTTTGCCAATTTCACACAAATTTCAAAAGATGCCAATTTCCGAATAGGGTCCAGAATAAACAAGAAAGACATTCCTGGCACTAAAATGACATTTCCTCTAGTCATTAGTCACGTCTCAAGGCCCCTCTTATATTCTTTTGCATTCCACTTTGAATTTTTATTCTCACAAAAAATATAAGATTTACTGTTATGCAGACTACTGCATTAGTGTAAAAAATGGTATAAATATTATTGGTGCACTTGTGAAAGAATATTAGACTCACCAGTTGACGTGTATTGCACGCTTGGCACGATTTGTTTACTTTTGAAGTTTGGTAAAAATCGAACATTTCTGCTACTTTGAGCTCAATTTCAAGGCACCTTTCATTGTAAAACCAGTCAAAATCATCTCAATTTCTGTAATATGTCTTCCATTCTATAAAATGAGACCAAGAAAACTAGAATAGAACAATAAATACCATACGAAAATACACTGCAAAGCCGCTGATTTATTCCAAAAAAATGGTCAAAGTTTTTTTTTCTCATTATGCACTGTGTGCTGCAGGATTTTTTTTAGACTGTGCACACTGACCACATAGACCCATTCTTTCATATGAAGGCCTACCAGCTTTCTCCCACTAGATTTGAGGCCACTAGAATTTATGCGTACTAGTACGTCAAAAACCCCTACGCGTAAGACGTACTAGTACGACCAAAACCCTCAAAGGGTTAATCCATTCATACATTTGAAAGAAATCTAGGGCCAGGAGGATCCACACAATGTATCATGGTTAACTACTCAGGTGATGACTGTGCCTGACATACTAGTATGCCTAAATAGCATAAGTAAACAGTGAACTCAGTAGTTGTTGTTCCACCACCACCTAACCCTTAAACTGTCCAAACAGATCTATGTTCACATGTGTAGTGCTCCAAAAGTAGATCTACATTTTTTTACATATTTTCAAATATAACAAAAAAAAAAATGTAGATCAAAGTTTTTTTGCACGTTTTCAAATGTAAAAAAAATCTACGTTTTTTTCCATACTTTCAAATGTTGAAAAAACGTAGCTCTAGGTTTGGACAGTTTAAGGGTTAACAGCAAATAGGGTGTGGAAGTGACACAAAGATGACTTATTCATTCCAAATTTATAACAATTTCATGATACTAACAGTGGAATTTAGCAACAAAGTCCATTAAGTACATATGTATATTTAACCCAGGATAACCTATTAAAGTCAAACAATGTGAATTATTTCCATGTCTTGAAGAGTATTACACTTTGAAACAATTATAATATTATAAGTATTCCTTATATAACCTTAACCCTTTCAGGGTTTCCGACATACTAGTACGGCTTACGCACCAGGGTTTTTGGCGTACTAGTACGCCTAAATTCTAGCGCCCTCGAATCTAGTGAGAGAAAGCTGGTAGGCCTACATACGAAAGAATGGGTCTATGTGGTCAGTGTGCGCAGTATAAAAGAAAATCCTGCAGCACAGTGCGTAATGAGAAAAAAAACTTTGACAGTGTTTTTGGTTTAAAACAGCGACTTTGCACTGTATTTTTGTATGGTATTTATGATGGTATTCTAATTTTCCTGGTCTCATTTTATAGAATGGAAGACATATTACAGAAATTGGGACGATTTTGATTGGTTTTACAATGAAAAGTACCTTGAAATTGAGCTCAAAGTAGCAGAAATCTTCGATTTTTGCCAAAGTTCAAAAGTAAGCAAATCTTGCTACACATCCAATACACGTCAACTGGTGAGTCTAATATTCTTTCACAAGTGCGCTGATATTGTTTACACTAATGCAGAAGTCTGCATAACAGTAAATCTTCTATTTTTTGAGAATAAAAATTCAAAGTGGAAAGCAAAAGAATGTAAGAGGGGCCTGGGGACGTGACTAATAAACAGAGGAAATGTTATTTTAGTGCCAGGAATGTCTTTCTTGTTTATTCTGGACCCTATTTGGAAATTGGCATCTTTTGAAATTTGTGTGAAATTGGCAAAATTTGTAAATTCTGACCACTTTATTGGATAGTTGAAATTGGTAAATGGGTGGTTTCTTGTACTCATTCGATAGAAAAAATGGAGTTCTAGTGAAATAGTTATGATTTTTGTTGGCAGTACACTGGGAATTGGCCAAAAATAGGGCTCAAATGGGCAAAATGCCGATGCTTTAACATGTCGAGACTGCTAACTTCGCGAGAGTATAATTTTCATAAGTTTTCATCAATTATACAAGGAAAAGTTTTCTCTATCTTTTGTATGAATTAATTTTTTTTTTTTTAAATTTGGTGACCCTGAGAACAAAGTTCGGAGTGGGCCTGGCGACCTGAAAGGGTTATAGACCAAATAGTAAAAATATATTAAAACAATTATCTTTAACTTCTTTTTTCAAAAACAGTCGTATCTACGAAGAAGGGTGCCCAAAAAAATGTTCTATTCCCATAGGAAGTGGAGCTACCTGGCTAAGCATTTCACTACGTCTGAAGTGTAACATCATCTTTAACACATCTAATATCATAAGAAACTAGTGTACATTGTGTCAAACATTAAAATCAATTAAAAAACATAAAAACAATCATATCTTGACATCAATAATTTGTAAATTAAAATCGTGTGCACAAATTGCTGTTCTGATGATCCAATATTTCTCAAATTCAGTACACCATAAAATCATAAGTTTCTATCAGATTCCACTCATTTTTAGTCCTATTTCTATTTGATTCAGAAAAAATAAACTCTTTTATTCTATAAGATTTTTTTTTCCACGCAATCACCCCCCCCCCCCCCCCCCCCACCCCCCCCCCCCCTCCCTACCACCCCCCCCCCCCCCCCCCACTCCAACTAAATTTCCTTTCCCCTTTTCAAAATCCTTTTTAAATTTTTCCCCCCCCCCCCCCCCCCCCCCCCCCCCAAAATTTTAACCCTTTTAAAAACTGCCCAAAACGAACTACTTTCACGTGTGTAGCACTGATCGTAGATCTACTTTTTTTTTTTGCACAAGAAAGCATATAAAATCGGATGTAGATCTACGTCTGGAGGGCTACGCACGTGAAAGTAGATCTATGTTTGGACAGTCTAAGGGTTAAATTATGGGATACCCAGTAAAAAATAAAGAGTATGTGTGTGTGTATGTGTGTTGGGGGAGGATTGTGAGAGAAAAAAAAAATCTTATGGAATAAAAGAGTTTATTTTTCTGAATCAAATAGAAATAGGACTAAAACTGAGTGGAATCTGAAAGAAACTTATGATTTTATGGTGTATTGAATTTTGAGAAATATTGATCACTCATCAGCAACAGCCGTAAATGTGCCAGCGATATTTATGTTTTACAATTATTAATGCCAAGATATGATCGTTTTCATGTTTTTTAATTGATTTTAATGTTTGACACTATGTAACTTTTAACCCTTAAACTGTCCAAACGTAGATCTACGTTCATGGCGTAGCACTCCGATTGTAGACCTTATTTTTTTTACCTAAGAAAGCATGTAAAACTGGATGTAGATCTACATCCGGAGTACTACGCATGTGAACGTAGACCTACGTTTGGACAGTTAAAGGGCTAAAAGTTACCATATTTTATGGCAAACAGGACGCTCTGGTGTCAAAGACGCCCCCTCAATTCTGACTGGCTAAATTTTGAACAAAAAACGATAAATAGTACTTTGGATTCCAAAATGCTGGGTAAATTTTCGAGACTTATTTTGGGAAAAAATAGCGCCTTCGAAGCTGTAAATTATGGTAAATCTTAAAGGTTAAGGATGAGCACTGTAAATGTACAAACTACAATTGTAGTATGATCATTTCCTGAGTATTTAACCCTTTCAGAGTTGGAACCCCTGATCTGAAACTTGATCTCAGGGTTGGATAATATATATATAAAAAAAATTCTCATGAAAGGACAGAGAATATTTTTCCAAAGGTAATGAAATAAGCATGAAATTTGATGGAAAACTTACGGAATTATGCTCTCACAAAGATAATGGTTTTGGTGATATTTACGCATCGGTGATTTTGCCCACTTTGAGCCTTACTTATGGCCAATTCCATTGTTCCAGTCAACCAAAATCATAGCTATTTAGCCAGTATTCATTCTATTCTATTGACTGAGCACAAGAAACCACCCATTTACCTATTTCAACTACCCAATAGTGATCAGAAATCTGTAATTTGGCCACTTTCACACAAAATTAAAAAAACTGCTAATTTCAAATCAGGGTCCAGAATAAACAATGTAGACATTCCTGGTATTAAAACAACATTTCCTCTTTTCATTAATCACATCCTCGGGCCTTTCCTATATTACACTTGCTTTCTATTTTGAATTTTTATTCACACAAAAAAAAAAATTTACTGCTATGCAGAAT